CAGAACTGTTCAAGCTTTGCTACTGGTCAAGAATAACGGCTGATTCAAACAAACAAAAAGAGTGTAAGAAATTTGGGATCTTTCGTTATATACGCGCACGTTCCCAAAATTAATGGTTCGATTTCAAGTTCCACTAAATTCTAAAAGAGAAGTTTTGATACGACACCGTTTTAGAAGAGTTTGACTCTCAACGATCCCGCCTAAGACAGCTTAACGAACTCTTAAAAGAAACATTTTTAAAAATACTTTAAATTTTGTTGATGTTAGCTTTGTATATTACTATATAATAATATCCATTATTTTAGTAATTTAAAAAATAAATGATAGAATTCCTAAGAGCTAAGATAATAATAATTGATTTAATTCTATAGTTAATTTCCCCTCGTATAAAAACGACTAAAATATAAGTTAGGAGAGAAATGAAAAGTCTACGATCATATTTCATACTACGTGCATATATTGCCTTTTTGTTTGTTTTGTTTCTATTCTACACGCATTTGATAACCTTAGTCAGCATTTTCACCACAAAATATCAAAATCAAGATATTAAACCATATAGTTGACTTTGTATGAGTGTATTTTATCTACATATTTGATGACTAAAACCATATTATGTCGGTTTTAAAAACTGTTATTTATGACCATCTTTACGAAAAAGACAAAGAAAAAACTCAACTGCCAAATTCTCCATTAGTCAATTTTTGGTACTATTTTTACATAGAAGAAAACAATTTCGATTCGACCAAAAAAAAAAACAATTTCGATAATAAATTCCAACAGTCAAACTATCTCAAGTGCATATTGATTGTATCTAGATATATTCAATGATTGAGAAATTGAATTAGATGGAATCGACATGTACAAAACTATAGGCTGACGAATAAACGCATTATATACTTATGATTTCATAAAATTTTATTTTTTATAAAGTAAATCCAACACACACAAAAAAAAAAGACAATGGGGCCAGAAATTTTGTTTTACTGGATCTTTCAAAAATTGTATTGTTCAACAAAAATTGACTGGTGGCAATTGCTCCACCTTACAACAACACTTGCATCCGCCACTTAGCATCGTATACATTATGCAAGTGACAACGAACAAAGATAATTTTACATAGAGAGTATGGATCTCTATTCACTACTATTGGGCTAACATGCAACAACACCTGTCATGTCCGAGGGGAGTGAATCTAGAGATGGAATCGGAACCAATATATTGCCATTTGTCTTGGAGCTATCAATAGCGGTTCGATTTGGTTTAATGAACCAATGTGTGTTTGAGTCATGTTTGGATTGCAAACACACATATAGACAACTCGATCTCGGTGCGATCTAAAAGTGAACGAGTGTAATAATGCTCTGGTGAATTAAGGAATGAGCGAAAGATTTTGGAGACAAGTGAGAGAGTTGGATAGTAAAATCTTGAGACGCGGGCTAAACAGTTGAATATCAAATCATTAGGAAGCATCAAAAACGTTATAGCAGGTGGAGTTTCTGTCTTCATGACGGTGGAAGCTACAGTTGTGGTTGTGGATGGCATTATAAAAATTTCTCTAATTGATTTATTCTATTTTTTTTTGTGTTAAATAACATTATTATATATAATGTTTTGGGATCGCTTATTTTGGAACACAAATCTTATTAATTATTGAATTTATATAATACAGATTACAGACGTTTTAAAAAACTATTTATATAAAACAAGCAATGAACAGACATGTTAGGATTAATATATAGTATTTTTTTCAAATTTATGAGTTTTATTGGATAATTACTAGTTTTTTTTTTGTTAGTTATGTTTTAATCTTAATTTCTTAGCAATCGATATTACTATTTACTAGATTGATCTCTTCTGATATTTCTATATATTTGACTTATTTGGAGATATTACCCATATATCGAGAAAAGATAAGTTCATAAGTATAAATCGGAATGTGTTAATCTTCCGTTCAAACTTACGTGTTTGAAATGTGAAAAACTTGATGGATTAATTTGTTAAAACAGGAGAATTAGAAAATAAAGGAGATGAAAAATGGACTATAATAAAGAAGATTGCAAATGGACCAACAGGGGAAGAGTGAAATTCTTTATTTTTTTTTGTTTTGATATATGATTTTACAAATCTCTCAATGACTGCTATGAGATAATAAATGTAAAATTATTTGCGTGTTTATCTCGAAAAAGATTGAAAAGATATCTACTACTAGTAATGTTTTTT